ATTGCATACCAGGACAAACGATTCTCATGGATCTTTCCTGATACGTTCTAGTTCTTGGTGGATCGGAGGTATTCGGGGAGAGAGTAATGAAAAACTTGTGCTGCATAATCGATTACGGATCGTATACATGCCGTATAAAAATTGCAAAGGTATTTTGGTGGAACATGAGCTCTTTTTAGCTGGAAAAGGAAATAGATTCTCTTTGCGACTTTCTTGGTGAGCTCAGTTATGTGAGCGTTCCATTTCAAATCTTCGGAGATGGTAACACCCAAAAGTTTAGCTTGTTTAACCAATTTCATGTGTTTACCATCTATTGAAACTGGATTGAAATCCCTTGGAATTGAGGAGAAACCAATTCGCAGCTCTTTGCATTTTTCTGTGTTTAATACAAGTCTGTTTTTCTTCGACGACCCTATTACTTGGTACGTGGTAATTTGAGCTCCACTGGGGTGACCTTTCTTCACAACTTCGGAGGCCGTCGTGTCGTCGACGAATTTCCATAGGGAGGCGTTAGTGATCGCTAAATCGTCTATCATAATCAAGAAAAGCCAGGGACCTAATTTGGTACCTTGTGGAACACCGGATGGAACAGAGCCCCATTCCGATACACACCCATCAGACATCTTAATTCTCTGACAACGGTCTGACAGGAAATCAATTATCCAGTTGATGGCGCTAGGTACAATGTCGAGTTAGCATAACTTATTGACGAGTATACCATGATCGACCAAGTCAAATGCCTTCCTATAATCAAACATAAGTACCCTTGCCGTTGAGCCAGTCCCGTCAGTCCCTTTAGACCATTCGTGGAGCATCTCTAATAAGGCAAAGGTTGTTGAGGACTTTGGTGTTGCGCCAACTGACTGGGCAGGATCCAATTGACTCAAGACGGCTGGTTTCAAATGTTGGGTGACCATAAAGTCCTCTACGACTTTAGGGATACTCGGTGCTAGGTAAATTAGTCTCAGATCTTTCTTAATGTCCTTTATTGGTTTAGTTGTCGGTAATGGAGTGACGTCTGCGCATTTCCATAATCTGGGTAGCTTTTGTTCTTTAAAGGAGGCATTTAAGATGGTCGACACAGGGTAGGCTAGAGACTCTGCATACTCCTTAATAATCCAATTCGGAATGCCATCGGGTCCACCTGCTTTCGCTGCATTAAGATTAAAAAGACTCCTAAAGACACCATACTCCGTAGTAGATAGGAATTGTGGGTTCTGATCTTCGAGATGAAGCTTCGGAATCTTTCCTGGTATACGATACTCTTCCAGGGGCTCCAATAACGCTTGGTTTACACAGTTGGCCATCTCGCGCATGGGTAAACCTTCTAACTCTTCAATGTCCAGAAGAGGAATCAGGTTAGTTGATGATTTTTGTGCTCCGCTAAGCCTTTTTACCTCCTTCCACCAACCTTTATGGTCCTTTTCTTTCATTCCATCGACTTTGGATTCGTAGAAGATCGCTTTGCAATTTTTCCGCCTTCGGTTTACGGCATTTCTATTTCTAACGTGACTTTTCGAAAATAAAATCATCAGATAATACCGCACTTCTCTTCAGTTTTCAATCTACGGTTTGAAACACAAAGAATTCTTGGATGGCAATTTTGTAAAGTGTCATCCAGCCTCGTGTTGTCTCAACCGAGAAAACGTAACAGTTAAGTAATTCTCATGTCACACAGATACACAGACATTTGCTACATAACTCTACGACTCTTTTATGTATATATAGTTTCATTTGTTCCCTTGTTCATTTATTTCTTTTTCCATCACGGATTCATCTATTTATTTATTTTATTTATCCATATCCACTAACATTTATCCTTCTGATGAAAAAAACTTTTTTTTCTCTATTTCTTAAATTTGTTTCCGTTAGTCACCACTTGCTGTGGTCAGACAATTCAATCCTACGTCAAGTAGCAAACTGGATATTTGATGTGCCGACTACGCTAGCTGTGAAGTTGTTTCACTTTCCCGAACGTTCCAAAAACATCTTTGAGGTAGCAGACACGTCACGGTAAGCAATGTAAGGATTTCATCCTTGTTCTTTTTAACTTAAACGATATTTTCTATCTAATTCTATTGAATTGATAACTTTCATGTGGCTCAACGATAGTAACCAAATTATCCGTGTACAGTTTGTAAATCCGCCCTTTTATACTATATTTGTTACAGTGCAAACATATCACGGTATATTTGCGTAAATGCGTGGTCAATAAAACTGATTAGGCCCTGCTGCTGGGTAAACGCAAAATATGTTTTTAAGTGAGGGAAAGCTGTTATTTATCATATATATAAAACTGACTTTCATAAAAACAGTTATGTGCTTTGCCTGATTTGGAAGGTATGGGAGTTTAAAACTCGGAAATGGCCTATTGGTGAGGTCGTCAGAAGAAAATATATACGTCATTGTCAGAATAAGACTGATGACTGATGATAAAAAACTGAAGTCGGAGCTAGCATGCTGAGGTTAAGGAAATGTGCCTACATGCTTTGTCGCCTTAAACTCATTCTGAACAGTTTACATCTGAACACAGACGCTTCTAAGACTTTTATCATGAATTCAGCTAATGCTGATTGTCCATTAAATATCACAGACGAATTCTCTACGTCCTCGAAGCTTTTAAAAGGATTCTATTTCCCGCTATCAATCTTAAACTTGGTCATCTACGGCTGTTCGCCCGTGATGTCTGTTGGAGGGAGCACCTTACTGATCTTGGCCGTCATCAAGTTCCCCCATCTTCGTGAGGTACCCAGTAAACTTCTCCTCACATCACAAGCAGTTCGTGATTTATTAATTGGACTTTTTTGTTCAGCCGATGATCGCAGCTAGACTAGCTCGTCGACTTTTCGGCCCCGCTAACTGTTTATTGCAACAAAACTTTCGGAACACGCTCGGAATGTACGTATCTCTCTCCTAGTGGAATTCATCTTGTCTGAATCTCTGTTTGATAACTGTCGATAGAGACATTTGCATCACACGCCCTTTAGGATATCTAAGCCTTGTTACGGTTGAAACAGTCCTGCAGGCGATAATTACTTGTTGATCGCTGTCGGCAATATATGCTACGCTGCCCGTCTTCCTCATCATACACAATTATGAAACAGTTTCCCATATAATAACTTCAAGAGCAGTTGCTTGTATTCCTCCCTTGCTGTTAGCTCAATTGGTAGAGCGCCGGACTGTTGTGCGGGAGGTCGTGAGTTCAAATCCGGCCGGACTAACACTCAGGGTCTTTAAATAACCGAGAAGAAACTGCTGCCTTTGTAATAATATCTGCAAATGGTTAGACTTTCTAGTCTTCTCGGATAGGGACGATAAATGGAGGTCCCGTCTCACAAGCCCTTGTATGTGATAAAAAAAAAAAATTTGTGGGACGTTAAAAGAACGCACACACTGTTCGAAAAGAGTAGGGCACGTAATGCCCGGTGTTGTGGTATATCTTTATGTACTGTCTATCAAATTGATGGGGGATACTGTGCCTTTGAATATTGTATAGAAAGGGCGCAATATAAATAAGGAATTCATTCATTCATTCATTCATGTTATTACACGACTCGGGTAGTCAGAGGGCCAATAACTAAAATCAACCAATCAAAATGCTCTATTGCCGGTCAATATTCTCTCAGTATTGGACCGGGCACTGTCCCGAATGGTCCTGAATGATACCGCACTTGTGTCTCTTTGAACTTCAGTCGTATAATAAATCTCTTCTTAACCAAGCTTGCTCGGGACCGTACTGGAAGAATATCGGCCCTCGGTCTTTTTTGTACGGACCTCGCTNGCAAAAAATTAAAGGACACGAGATACTCGCCCCTCTCCAGTGCGGCCATACATTTCATCGATTCCTGTCGAGTCCTAGCAAGTTTTCATTCTGTGAAATTTTGGTCACCAGGGTCGAGTTGTTCAAAGGTGGGTTAAGATAACCCAGGGTTAGTGTGAAATTTGATTTCAGATCCGAAAGCTTTAAAAGAAAATTAAGTTTATTTCCACTTGTTTACAATATTTGATGATTGAATGAGCTAAAAAGAATTGGGAAAATTATCCCAAAACAGCTTTTGAACAAAGAATATAGAAACCTGGATTAAAATTTAACTTTGGATTAGCGCTAATCGGCCTTCGAACAACTGGGCCCTGGTTCTCCTTGAAGTCATCGTGCCGTTCCTTAGTGAGCACCTTGACCTTCCTCAACTCGAGCATAAATCCTCTGGTATATTACGTTCCATGCAGAAAGATTAGCCGCTACGCCTGGAAGGTTATAAAGTATAAATAAGATTAAGCAATTCATCTAATGTTTCCGATTATTTCGTTCACGACTATTTATGCAGAGGTCGGTCGGAGCCAGCATTGCCATGGATAACTGGATTCATAAAGCTGGGGGTGGCGCATGAATCATTACAGAATCACGGGTCACAAAAGATTTGAATCCGATGTCAAAATGGACAGCTTTTGCGTTGAATCTCAGTCTCGCATTTCTCTCAAAGTTGTTAAGGTCTACGTCTGAAGTTTCAACTTATAGACAAGGGTCTCGAGGGTAAGGTGGCTTGAGTAGCTTAGAACTGTCGTTCAACAAAGAATGTCGACCGACTGCGTGAAGTTGATCACTCCAAAATCACCAGAAATTTTTTAACAAGACGGATACATTAATGCCGCCAACTTTAAACTAAGGGATAATACCAGCTTAAAATGGTTTCGCTATTTCTGAAACACCACTTACTTCGCGGATGGATCAATATTCCCACAGTGTTTTGCTTGTTTCCTTGAAAAAGGTATCAAGGAAAACAAAAATCTTTTTAAAATGACTCCTCGACGTGTTCTGATCAGATGTACACTCAAGCCTATTGGAAGGAGAGGAAGTCCTTAATTTTTTTCCTCCATGTGCTTAAAACTCAAAGATGAGTTCGGTAAACCCCGTTTCTTAAAAGCGCAATTTGATTGGTCGTAAAACTGATCAAAACCAAAGACATCTCAACGACCGATAAGAATCACGTCAAACACCACGAAGAGCCAATGAGAATCAAAATTGCTAATAAGCCAACTCCCGGAAGCGCGGGAAAAGTTACGTTTGGTTTTAGTTCTGAATCTGATTGGTTGAGAGTGGCACGAACGTTGCGGACTAATCCCGGGGTGGAGTAAAGCAAAACAAAAGCAATTCCGGATTACTTACGACGTTCAATTAAAAAATTATTTATTGTTCAATTGCAAACAGCATATCAGACTCATCTTTTTCGCAAGTTTTTACAAATCTTAACTAGTTGGTACATCCATTATCAAGGCTAGCATCATGACGACAAAGAATACTGATCTTATTTATAACATTATATCATTAAAAGATCATTACAGGATAATTAAAATAATACAGAAATACCTAGGAGGCTAACTGTTAATAGAATGGCTGTCCCGTACATTTTCAATTCGTGTAAAGCGAGATAAGACCAACAAAAAATGCTTACTGCAAAGTAACTAATTCAACCAAAATCCTTTTAATGAACGGGTGTCAGCTTTCAACTGGATAAATTTCGTTCTCAGGCAAAGTGAGCTATCCTACAAGTTGGTTGATTATATTCTAACGATTCCCGCTATAGTAAAGCTGTATTTTGGACAAGGAGTCCCTGGCCGAGTCTGAATCCCGTGTCGCCATAAACCTTTATGACTGGATTACGACCGTAAGCAGTAGTGCAAGTAAGGCAGTAAAAACAGCAAGTCTACTCGCACGAAAAATTCTTTGAAGGTGTAAGGGTTTGAGCGCAGAAAGTTCGGGCAAAAGTGATATACACATGCTTAACCCAGAGATCAAATCTACTACAATGTACTGTCGGTGGGTCATGGTATCTGCTATAGAAAGTGTTATTTACATGTACCAATCAGAGTTTTTTCTACTGACAAATGTTCGGTTCAACGAGCACTGAAAATGGATTCTGTCGAAACTGCAAACAAGCATCAAACCATGTTGTATTGTTTTAAAGTTCAGACAAACGAACCGTCTTCGTGAAAAGACGAACTGCTGCTCGCTACGGATTCTGGCGCTGAAGGATCTCGGAAATCTGCCCGCGATGACTGGCCAGCGTCACTTCCTTCCCACACGAGGCTCTCTCCGACTTGTAAAGTTGGACCGAGCTTATTGGCTACATCCACAAGCTGTTGGTGATAATAAAGGAAGGAATGTTACTGCGAGCACGGAGAAATTGAAAATCAAAATACACAGTAGGAAAGCTTCGACGCCAAAAGCTTCGCTTTTCCACTGAGAGAGCAGAATTTCTAGGACGTGCTGTGACTGTTTTAATGTTTATATACAGTGGCTAAACAATTTCTCCTTATGAGCAGCTTGGGAAATGGAAAAAAGAATAGTTTAGAGAATGCATACAGGTTAAACGATATAAGATGGCAAATTCACCTCTGGATCAACCTCGACACCTTTGACTAATCGGTAGGATTCCATTTTTCTCTCGTAAATGTTAAACTGTTTGGCAGCGTCTTTCTTTTCGCCTGTATTGTACAGGAAGACTGAGAAGTTCAAGTTTATAGAAGGATCGGAGCTGAAATAAAAAAAAAAATCAACAGTTAAAGAATTATCACCAAGTGTTACAAAATTGAACAAATAATTTTCTTTCTTCATCAATAAACGTAATTACCTGGGTGAATCCCGCTATATCACCTTTGGGTAACAAAGAATTAGGTTAACTCAGGGCTTGACACTAACGGTAGCCAATTAGCCACAGACTAGTAGAAATTCAGTTTTGGCTAGTGGTTTTCGGTTTCCACAAGCCAGTTTGGCTAGTAAACAAACTGAAATTGTTGTAACTTCTAAGTTGTCACGAGCCACTTGGATAGTAAGTTCAAAAGTTAGTGTGGAGACCTGTTACTTAGTGGCAGTTTATGTACTTTCGTCCAGTCTCCGTGGGACACGCGGTGGACCAATGGTCAGTGCACTGGACTCCAGGGAGAGAGGTCTGAGTTGAAGACCGGGCTGGGTCTGTGTGATGTGTTCCTGGTCAAAATACCGTCTTTATTCTAACAGTGCCTCTCTCCACCCAGGACTATAAATGAGGACTGATGAATAGCAAGGGAAGCCCGATGAAATGCTGAGGCCAGGGGGGAGGGGGGTACCATTGCAATAAACTAGCATCCCATCCAGGGAGGGAAAGGGGTAGTGATTTTCCTTGTCGCTTCATGCTAAAGAAAGCGGAATAATCTACGGCTGGGTAAGCTACTTGGCTCGAGTACAGACTTAGAATACTGTAGAATTTTACTGTAATGATATTCTCACTTGTCTAAGTTTGCTGCCTGTTCGTATGCATGTCTAGCATTCTCTTGGTCCTCCAAATGTGTCAAGGCAACTGAAATAAGATAAATATACGGATAACATTGATAAACACCTCAGCAAACCGAAAAGAAAAGTTTCGTGAAACTCACTCATCTGATCGCGAGAGGGTTACTTACTTGCAAGTAACATAAAGAGGTTACCATGCTTTGGTTTGAGGGTAATTGCTGCACTAAGGAAGTGAAACGCAGAAGCGTATCTAATGGACGTTAAGAAAAGCTTGCGTTCGTCGACATAAAGGAGTTTGCGCGCAAAATTCCACCCTGTAACCGCGAAAAGTTACCACTTCCTAGGAACCAAGTACAAACGTATGTTAACCTATTAAGACAGAATTTCTCCTTACAATATATCAATACATTCTAAAGCAGACAAGTGATAGGGATTAAGAAAAATACCGAGAAGGGAATTATTGGTTGATCCAATACCAAATTCACAGAGCTAACATCATATGAATTGTATAGCAGACAGTAAGGAGGTTTACTGATGTGATCTTGAGAATGAAAGAGTTCAATCAGAAAGTTATACAAAATAAGTCGTGCCTGGCAGGGAATATCTATCACAATGATTAAAAAAAACCCTTTAGGCGGGAATACGAGAAGACGTCCCTGTCTCACGATTTTGTAAACTACATGCAAAGGATACTGTTGCATTGTAAGGTGAATGATTCCCAAGTTATAAAGGATTTTCCAATCAAATGGTGCCATGTATGTGGCTCTTTTGAGACAGCTGATGGCCTAAGCAAACCATAATGAAGACAAGGCATGTTAGAAGCGGTTTCCACACATCATTAAGAGCAAGCTAGGACAAAAATTATCACCACAACCAATTAGAACAACGGTCAAAACCAAAGGAAACCAATAGGAGTTCGAGGTAAAAAAATGAGTTCGGTTCAAGGCGCGGGTATCCAGTTGAGACGTACAAAAGGACTGGAAACTCGCGGGAAAGAGGCAGATAACCACGGTTTTAGCCTTGTATCTGATTGGTTAAGAGGTAAGTGTATTCTCAACCATTTCCAGAGCGCAGTAAAGTGTAACCCGTCGAATGCAAATTGTCCAAACCTACTTCTTACTATTGAATAAAGGCTGATAGTTTCTAAAGAAACTGTTTGGGGCTGCGTCGGTGGGGGTAACGAAATAATTTGAATAATTATATCAACAAAGTTGAAATGGTAAATTGGCCACCGTTACGATTATAAAAGCTGACGTTTCGAGCGTTAGCCCTTCGCTCCGACTTTGTTGATATAATTATTCAAATTATTTCTTACTATTGACTGATATGGAGTGCTCTTTGATTGACTTTCGAGAAACCAATACCGAAACAAAAACAAAAAGAATTATCTCTATGTTAAGGAAACTTTTAAAAATATTTAAAAAGCTTTGACGGTCTCCAAGCCCAATTTTGTAAGTTAGACGCCCAAACTATAAAATTCGTTTGTTAATCAACTTACTGCGACATATTTCTTTTTGCCAAAGAAGCACATGCCAATGTTATTCCACAGGTGTGGTGATTCAGGTGTGGCTGCGGCTGCTATTCTGTATTTGGTCAGTGCTACATCATAGTCACCGTGTGACTGAATCATAGAACCAGCTGCCAAGATAGCCTGGCAGTCAAACACGAAAGCACAGTTAAATATTTTACAGGGGGATTATGGTGCATTAGAAACCAGATGAATTGAACCTTCTCCGTTTAAACATAAACAAGTAACATTTTGCTATTCATTGATTCTTCCAATATGTTTAATTCAGAGGAATGTACCGAAAAAACATCAATTTTACGCACATGGTACGTAAGGAAGGAAGGGAGTGCCAAAATCTCACCTTCACATTGCTAGGATCATAAGTTAATGCATTTCCAAGATGCTCAAAAGCTTTTGAAGTTTGACCAAGCTGCAAGATAAATTGTAAGAAAAGAGAAATGTAGATGCACATTGTGTAATAAGGAAAGAGGAGGAAAATTGATAAAAAATTCCAAGAAGTTCCACTAATGTTATACAGTAAATTCTTGCTTAACTACCTGTTTCTAAATGTTACCTCTAAGTAAAGCAGTCCTAGTGTTGTCATTAGATCGGGGTTTTCTGGTGAGAATCTGAGAAAAAGAACAAAAAAGAGAGTTTACTCAATAGTTTCTATGCGCTTACTTTTAGTAGGGGCCAAAGATCCAAAGCTACAGTGCAGCTTAGAAAATCAAAATAAACGATTTTAACCTCTTACACCCTAACATCAGTATGCATATTCTCCATACTGTACTCTATAGATCTCCTAAGGTGCTGACAAGGAGGATTTGTTTAACAATCAGGAACTTCTCAGGGCTCGAAAAATATTTGAAATATATCTTGCCCGTTGGGCAAGTAACCCTAAAGTTTTGCTTGCCAGGGGCACTTCCCTGCTTGCCCAAGTTTTCAAACTAATTAATAATTCATGAACGCAAGAATGGATTTTAATGTAATAAAACCATCTTGATGACTTACTTATCCATTTCTTTTTAATAATATAACACTTTTTATTTAGTGTGGAGGCGCCCAACTTGCATGTTTCGCCGGAAACAGAGATTTACCTGGATTTTAGCATCAAAGGGCTAGCTAGCTTCATTTTCATGGTAGAAATATGCGACTTCTCAGTTTTCACGTACAATTTCTACAGTTTTAATTAATATGTCACTGTTGAGTTAAGTTTTGTACAGTGAAACCAAAACATTCTCGCGGGAAATTGCTACAATTAAGAAATAAACACAGCGTTATCGTTCCCAACGCGGCTATTTTTATCCTGGAAAAT